CGCCGCTATTAGGTTGCGATATTTATACTTTCCGGACAAAGTTAATTAAGGTTATTTAAAACAGATGAAATTTTAACAAATTACTGAGAATCAGTTAAAAGCAAAATGTGTTCAATTTCGTCTAAGTTCGACATAGCTTTTTCCAAAATACATTGAAAAATACATCATTTTTTGAAATCCTAATAGTTGTGGTGCCGCGCTGCTACCAGCAAAAACGAAGAAATACCTAAATTTATGCTAAAGGAAGCAGTCAACACACAAATGTTAGCTACGGAGCAAACAACGTCCAATATTCAAACTGCGGATATTAACCACTCTGAGTTCATTTTTCTTCTCCACAACACATCTATTACTATGGTTAGCTCGGTGCGTATGGTTGCGAGATGCTGCTATGATCGTGACAAAACCTCAGACTGCCAATCCGAAGAACCAGCCGAAGTTTGTTTTCCTTTTCCAGTACCGCACTTACTCAAGTTTAGGTGAACGAAATAACACAATTTGTGCAGCCACGTGGTGCTCCCGAACTCATTGGTGAAGGAAACTGGACTGCTTCTGGCTCCGTCATAAGTCCAGTGACCTGTCCTGTTCTGACTTCCACTTATGAATAAAATATCAGTTTCCCTGAATGTAACGTATTGGAAAATTATCACTTTCATGATCAGAATAACAATTTCCCATATAACCTTTGGACAAACAAAATATTTTTGTTTCCCGAAGGACTGAAGTTAAGATTGTTTAAACACGCTCGGTTAGGTCGACCGCCAACAGTTGGTTTTACGCGTGCACTCGTGAAGCATGGTGGCAACCGAAACTGCCAAGAAGACCCAGGCGGCGGCTACAGCGGCGAAGAAGTCGGTAAGTTGTTTGATACCTGTTTCAACTGTTTTAGAAAGCTTTGGACTCCATTAATAGCCGTTTGGCCTTGGTGATGAAAAGCGGTAAATGTGCCATCGGACTGAGGCAGACTCTCCGTCTTCTGCGTCGAGGTGGCGCTCGCTTGATCATCATTGCTAATAACGCACCTCCACTAAGGTAAGTGCTCCGAATGAAAATCGGAGCCCTTTTGGGCTGAGAGGATTTTCATCTTATCACGCCCTCAAGTAGTTAGGTGTCGTTTATTCTTGATCCAAAGTTAATGCGCGGGTACTCCACTTCAGGAAAACGGAGATCGAATATTACGCTATGCTGTCCAAGACAGGAGTGCATCACTACAATGGCTCCAACCAAGACCTCGGTACTGCTTGCGGGAAGTATTTCCGAGTGAGCACGCTGGCGATTGAGGATCCAGGTTTGTCTTTATTAATTTTGTGGTCTAACTGATCCTTATTGCAGGTGATTCTGATATCATCCGCACGGTCCCTCACGATGGTGAATCCAAATAATGTATTTAAATAAACTATACAATGGTCTCTCGTCTTGTGTCCTATCTTCGGCTGGTGTTTCTCCGTTGAAATAAATACTTGAAAACCATGTTAGCCGCTGAATTGCAAGAAGGTATGAGGCGGCAATTAAATTTAAATTCTCCCGACAGTTGCCTTCTCCGCGAACCAATGCTACGGCCTTCAGTTCTTACGTCCGCATTTGAAACGTCTGAGCTGACATGGGTTCCCAACCGTGAGTCACGGGGATTGCCGGGATGTCTGCGTTTTCCCACTGATTGCGTGGTTACTTTGATGCCGCATTTGTAAGACCTACGGCGGTCACATACTGATAACGCCACTACTATTTGGCAGTTCGCCGGACAGGCGTCACGCGTGTTGACGCGGCGAGTTGTTGACCGAAAAAGCCGATTTGTCCAGCTAGAGATGGCATTGTCTGCTCGTATGTATGGAGGATGCACGATGCGTACCAACCGGCATTTTACCTAGACCTAGACGTATCACGAGTCGAAAAGGTTCTACGGTTGAGAGAGCCTGAATTTGCCAGTGGAAGGTATCCATGGGCTATAAGTTTTCGCTTATCGATGCTTACGCAGTTTGGTGCACGTAGGATGGAGTTTAATTACATGGAGGTGGATCCTCGTTAGGGGATTTTAACGGGGAACGAATTTCCAGCGCGGCGATTTCTCATCAGTAGGCTACGCTGGTGAGTGAACGGCGTCAATTGCACCGCTTTTTTGGCTGGAGGGAATCATCCGAAGGTTGAGATGTGGCGTGGAAAGTAAGCGTGAAGGGTCGCACAGGTCGAGTATGTAATTCACTCGTTCCAGGTTAGGTTCCTGTAAGTACTGACTGCAGACGGACGGATTTTACTTTTTTATTGAATATTCAAAAATGCAATTCTCAGAAAGGAGGAAGCGGCTATACAAGAATAAGGGAAAGTCGGGCGGTGGTGGTGGGATTCGAACGCTCGTCCTCCGGAGTGATAATTGGTAACGCTAAGACAGCAGTGGTGCTCTTGCCATGCTAATATGCTTCAGTAGTTTGGTATGCACAGCTGAATTGTGTACTATGCCGACTTGTAGGCTTGCTCCCTTCCCCAGCCCTCGAAATAGATTCTCTCCCTGTCCACCCTAAATAACCTCACCAACTCGATATGCTTTGTCAATTGGTAGCGATCACTGAACTTCGCTGTACAACGTTGGTGGTTCCGGATGTCGGAGAATCCTTGTGTAATTTTCATGTATGCTATTTACCAGTTTCCATCCGTACTTTTTATCTCAGTGGACGGTATTAATAATGTTTGAGCACGAAAGAATGCGTAGAACCTGTGGGTGCAGTTTGACTGCTTTTATCCGTTGAACTGTATTCTGATTCGGACGATGCTTTTTGAGACGATATTTGGGTTTGTGAATCCCAGCATATGACTTTTTAACGAATAAGTGCGCTTATGGAAAAGTCCTATCCAAGTTCACACCTGATCGTGAATTTCGTCGGTTTCGGTTACTTTTTGGAAGGGATAAAGTCATCACGGATGCCGGGGAAGTACGACTATATGGTTGATGTAACCACGTCAATAAGCGGGCAATTTAGTACCCCAGTTTGCCCATTCGATTATTCTCTGGTTGGTATTCGAATTCTTCTCCATGGCTGTGTCATGTTTCAACTGCCAAGTTATTGTTCGAAAAGTACTAGATCGATGACAGTAATTTCATCCTTGATGCGATGACAACGAGGCTTGACCAGCAACGTGTCGTTTTGTATGTGTTCCGCATTTGCACGTGGGATATTCCAAATGCAGTCCAGCCACCCTTCTGTTTTGCGTAAAAAGAGTTTCAGCTAGGCAGGTCGTCGAAAGTCTTATTACTTGTCGGTTGTCAGTGGACGCAGCCTTCTTCATCTCATATNCTCATATTGGCGACCCACTAATTCTCGCTATTAATCCTTAGGCTCTTGAGTAGCCGGCGTTTAAGAAAGTAGCACTGTCATATTTGGTATCCAGAGGAATGGTTCCGTGGGCGTTCGAGAGAGAAGAATAGGTTAAGGAAATCGGTCGTGTTCTTTGGTTTTGACCGATACAAAATGTTTCCTCTGTTCAGCTCTTGAGGTTCAGTGACACACTAGACGAACGGTTGAAGTGAGAGGTTGCGAGAAAGCTCCGATTTTCGAATGTATTGTAATGCGATCTTCCGTCTCGGACATTTTGGCTCGATTTTTTAGCAGACTATCTGGCTCAGATCAAGGTATGATCCTTCCCCTTGTACGTC